CAGAAAATCAATCGAATATTTTATTGTTCGGCAACAAGACTTCTTGAAATTTCAGTGGAAATTAAACATGATGAAATTTTCCGGGATTGAACACGGAAAATTCAGATGAAAATTTTCAACTTTATTTTTAAAGTAACTATTTTGATTTATTCAAAACTTTTTTTAAATTAAAAAACTTTTTCTAATGCAGCTATGGATTACATTGAGATTGAATTATAAATTTAAGAAATTTTTCAAAATTTACATATAACACGAGTAGATTAATTTTAGAACCGGAAATATCATCAATTCAAGAACGAGAGAAAGCGGATTTATTCATATTTTGTCTGATTCCCGAGACAAGTCTCTCCAGAATGAATGCACATTCCACATACTTCCCGGAGATACAGATGCAAATACTTCTATCCCATCTCTTTACTTCCCCAACCGGAAAAATCGTCCTCAAAGGAGAGAAAAAAACTGTAAATATTTCATACTTGAGATGAAAAAATTTCTTTTTGTCACTGCACCTCGTGACTTTGCCTTTCCCAGACGCTCGCTCCCAGAAACTCGCTCAGCCTTCACCATTATTCCTCCCCTGTAATTTGACTGGCAACACTTTTTTACGTGTAACTAGGAAGATTAATGGGGGAAAAAAAATTCACCGTGAAAATTTCTGGACACCTTTAATGAATTGATGGTGCACGTTGTTAATTTTTTGTATGATGTATGACTGGACGTAATGGCGAGCCATATGGGATTGCATTAGGGAGATGTAGTACAAAGGGAAGTGGAGTGTGAGAGGGGCCACAGAGCCGATAGTCCCCGGCGAAGGTCCGTGGGGACGTTCATAATAGAAGATAACACGTGATGCGTTACAGTGAAAGATAAAACTCAAGGACTTTCAGGGCTCGATCGCATCCCACCTCTGCTTTTTGTCTTGGAGAGAAATTCTGAGGATTCGGTCGTTCCTTGCGTTGAGCAATTAGTCGGAGTATGAATCATCGGAACGCACATTCTATCGAGAACTTGCGTGGAAAAGTCCCTTTTCGTTTAGATTGTTGTATCGTAAGTATATTTTAAGTATATTTTACACTCAATTGGGGGATGGGTATTTCAATTCGAAGATGATTCTTTTGTATCAGGCCGGGTTGTAGCAAGCCCTCTTAAGTGTAATATAAGGGTCAGGCACTAAGTGTCAGAATATAAGGGTCAAAAAGTGGAGGTTAAAAAATGAGGGCCGGAATATTAGGGCCAAAACATTAGGGTCAGAATATAAAAGTAAAAAAAGTGGGTGTCAGGCAATGAGGGTCTAAATATAAGTCTTATATTATGTTTGATCACCGCTTTTAGCCCTTATATGACTCTCAGTGCCTGACACCCACTTTTTTATTTACTTTCATATTCTGACCCTCTTTTTTTAATCCTAACATTCTGACCCTCATTTTTTAACCTCCACTTTTGGACCCTTATATTCTCACACTTAGTGTCTGACCCTTATATTACACTTGAGAGCGCTTGGTACAACCCGGACTGATACGAAATAATCATTCTCGAATTGAAACACCCATCCCTCACTCGAGTATAAAATCTTTTTCTTTGTTTTTTTTCTTTATTTATTCGTTTTTTCTCAATCACTCGGGCTCTATTCAGCCGATTTTCATTTATGACGGCTCTAAATTTTCTATTTTCTACCATCTATAAGAAGATTCCGGGTAATTTTATTTTTCAATCCCTAGGTGCTCATAATACCAAATGTAAAAAAAAAATTGACAAACTGGGATTTTCTAAATTATGTCACGTTTTAGTTTTCTCATCTTTTTTTGCAGTAACTCTTATAATCAAAACAAGTGTGTTGAACTGTCATGCAAGTTGGTTTTCGTCCTGAATCCATTTTATTTTCAATTTTTTCTTCCCGAAATTCCGTCAATTTGGCCAAAACACTTTTTCAATTAATTATTCCAACTAATCTAGGAAATATTTCTCCGTAATTCTTTTCGCTTAGCTATTTATGGGTTATGAATAATGGTAAATAAGGAAATAGAGAAAACTGAGCTCCATGCAAGTTCCCCCCTCCAGTGCGTGAATTAAAAAAAATTGAATTAAACCATTCGGGATATTTGATACGGAAAAGTAATGGAGTGTTTATTTTCCACTCTGAAGTTAAAGCGCGATGGATGAAGCGAACTGTTCAGAGTTAATGAAGGATCCCGGCCATTGTTTCATTTTCATGTGGTTTTTTACGCAAACCGAACTCATTTCCTGGTGCACTATATTTACTCGTGATGGCTTAATTACATTAATTGATCAGAAAGTTCTGGGGGAATTTTGCCTTGCGGTTACGACCGCTGTTTCTCAATTTGATAACTACTTTCAGTGTTTCAGATGAAACGATGACGTCATTTCCGAGAGTAGTTGCTAAAATATTGCAATTGTCAGTGGCATACTTTAAGTTACAAAGGAGTTCTTTTTGCATGAAGAGTGCTATAGCCAGAGAAATGACGCCATTAAATCGAATAAATCTCTTCGTTGATTTTTTTTCCATTGCAACAATATTTGGTGCGAAAATGATTGTATATACGAATGATAATAATTCGGATATTCATTGCAATGAAAATGTTTTGATGGAAATGAATAATAAATTCATTAATTTTAGACAAATTCTCTATTAGAAGCAAATATGTAAGCGATTTGTGAGCGACAAATGGATATTCTGTATCAATTACTCTGAATTTTGAATTCATTAAAAATTTAAGAACAGTTTACTTGAATTTTTATGATTCCGTTTAATTTTTATGGAATAATTGACCTAAAATTGACAGTCGCCATTGATTTTGACATGAAATTTCGAATATTCAACGACGAAATTTCTTGAAATTTCAGTGGAACGACAGACTACCGCAAAAAACTCAATCCTAGAATTTTTAATTTAACCCCAAGTTGAATAACAATTTCCACCATTCAAAAGTTAAATAAATCCATTACTCAAATATGTTTCGATGAACCCATTTATCTGATTCAACTCGATATTTTTTTAATTGACTATTTTTTTTTGGTGAGCGACATTCAATTCGATTCAGGGGGACAAAATCGTAAAATTTCAAATTCCACTAAAAATGCAAAGAAATATCAAATTTTTGAGGAGCAGAAATATGAGAATTACCCAAGTCACTTGAGTGATCAATCAAAACATGAATATTCAGTAAATTAAAAATTCTAGAATATTCTCACTCGTATTTTCATTATTTCCATTAATTTTCATAGAATAATTGAACTGAAATTTACAATTCCGCTCGATTTTTCCATAAAATTTCGAATATTCACTGACGAAATTCATTGAAATCTCAGTCGAACTACGCGAGAGAAATTCGTTACTAAAAATTCTAGTGCCGTTAGGCTCAAATTTCTCTGCATTTCTGATGAAATTTCCTGGGATTTCCGTGAAACTGTACCACTTCGCGTCCCCTTTCCCGTGTCAGCACTAGAATTTCCCTCCCGAATTTCTCTCCGCATGCAGTGCCCCAAAAACTCCCCCCCCCCCCAAAATCTCAATTTCCCAAAACTCCCAACTCACCCCCAAAATTAAAAATCCAACCGAACCCATCCCTCAAACCTCCCCTCATAAATTCCCGAACAATTCCCCCACATGTATTCATCATAATCCCACCAGGTACCCTTTTACAACCTCTCATAAAATAAAGGCCCCGGAATTAATCCATCGTTCACCATTTTCTGTTCCAGATTATAAACTTCACCGTGCAAAAAGCAATGCATTACATCCCAGTTCGCCTCCCACCGTCTATTATTTCATACACTCGTCCCCTCGATTAATCCCCCAGCATCCCCCAGCCCCCCGCCCCTAAAACTTGAAAACTCGATGGTCCAGATTTAACAGAGTGCCTCAATGGGACACCGATCGACCACCAAGAATCGAGCAACGGTGGGTGTGTCCACCTCATAAAACCCCTCACGGATTTTCCCCCATATATATCTTTAAACCCAAGCACAGCTTGGCAACCGACAGTTGGCGCTGTGAGAGAATAAAAAGACAAAAATACAATAAAATAAAAGTCCCTCCACAGACTCTGGCGAATGACCGTGGACCGAAAAAAACAAAATCGTGAACTGTCAGGCATGTGCGGGTAAAGTGCGGGTGAACGGCGATCGTGCGAGTCGAGTGTACGATTAACTGAAGCCACCCCATTCCCATTTTTTTCATCGAGCTACACACGCGACCTGCGCCACCGGGCCTCGGAGCGCAAAAAAAAAAAATTACTGGACACCGACGCGATTCACTGGCAACGCTCGAGAGCTCGTAAATAAAACTGAGAAAGCTATCCCGATCCTCGGCTGGTGATATACCTCCCAGTGCGTTGGCGCGTGCTGCCAATACCCAATAAAAAGGAGAGCCTCGGCCCCCGCGAGATGTCAGCTGAAACGAGAAGATAGTTTCAGAGGAGAAAAAAAAGGTAATCATGATCTTGAAGACATGAAGGAGTCGTTTTCAAAGCCTCCAGCTGAAATCGTGGGGTTCTTGAGCCGAGGGGACGTGAAGGTATAACGAGGGCACAGGAGCCGGGCGGAGCGTCCACTTGCTGCAGAGCGCCCCGAGGGAATCCTCTGAAAAATGCCAGGAAAAATGTAAAAAGAGTTCTCCCGAGTTCGAGAGAGCCATCGGGTTGAATTCAAATCATAAAAATCTTGATAGAGAGGTGAAGCTCTTTGTGCATTGCTTGACATGCTGTCTCTATCGGATTATACTTGTGATGCTTGATCCAGCGTGTACGAAATATTTCAAATAGAATATTCAGTCGAGAGAGGGTTTTTGTTGTATCAATAGACGAGACTCTGGGAGCCTGTTATTTCAGAGAGGGAGGGGACAGTTTTCTTTGAGATTGGGAATGCAGATTGATTCCGGAAAAATTGCAAATGCTGTTTTTACGGAAACTATGGTGAGTGGCTCGTAGGACTGGGAGTGGAATAACAAGTGTTGAAAAAAAACTACTGGGAATTTTATGAAAATGGATCACGTTCATGTTAGAGCGAAGTCGATGGCGAGAAGTAACTCGACTAAAATGGCGTGTGAAAAGGCAACGAGACGGCTGAGAGCGACGCTGTGTAAAGCGACGCGGCTCGGTGTCTCAAGCGCTGAGGTCGCCGGATTACCGTCGGCCAAGAGACTCATACCACAGAGGGATCATGGCTGGAGATTGGCCATATTCATGGTACTCATGTTTGGGGGTGGAGTTGTTGTTGCTCTTGTGTGTATGGCGAAAAATGGATGCACGAGGATCGAAGATATCGTGAGTATTTCATGGTCATTACTGGATTGGTAGAAATTATTCAGCAGCGAAGTGGTCAAATGGTTTAACTCAATTTAGTCTTTACACGGAGAGAAATATTCAATAAAAATTACCAGAAAAAAGACGTAAAAATTACGATTCGAAACGTAATCTGGGAGCGAAGTAAAATTCAATAAAAAGTATCAATCGTCACGTAAATTCTACGATCTGTTCCGTAAAAATTACTCATCCGTCCGACGCCTCACGGCTAGCCATGAGTCACCGTGAGGGGGAGATTTTAACAACACGTTCCGTAATTTTTCCGGAACTTTTCGTAAAAATTCTTAAACATCCAAGAATTTTCATGTTCTGAGGCATAATAAGTCTTGAAGTTTCTGTTAGATTTTACAACTTCCAGAAAAATTACGTGACTTTTTCGTATTTTTTCGGTGACAGACCCGAAAATTTACTGAACGTTTCAGATTTATTCTCTTATATTCCTATAGAAATTCACTGAAAACGATTCTCGCTTGCGGATTACGTGAAATGTTCCGTAATTTTTCTTGAATATTTCTCTCCGTGTAGTCGAATTTTCCAAAAATATTTCCGAATTCAAGGGAGATAGCGAAATTTTCATAATAACCTTTTTTGTAGAGTGAATCGAGTGCTGCTAAAAAGATTATGAGAAAAATTTTGCTATCTTCCTTAGATTTCGAAATATTCATTGAAAACTGGCCAATAACCGAAATCGACTTAAACCGTTTGACCACTTCGCTGCTGTATTGGTAATTCGTAACACGTTATTATTCTCATCGACAGTATTGTTAATTTACGATGAGAAGAATATCCACGAGCAATTTACGTGTGAAAAAGTTTAATAAAAAAACTTAGCGAATTCGCTCGAAAACTCTATTGGAATTCTCTAGAAATTGTATTGGGATTCTGCGACCCTGCGACTTGGTCACCGCGGGGATTCCTCGCCGTGTTATTTAGGCTCCAGCGTTGCCGAATTCACTCTGCACTGCCCGGACGCATTTAGCGAGTTGCCGGCAACGTCGCGCCATGGGCAATTTCGGTTAACATGAGAAAAAATAATTCATCTGTGCGAAATAATCTGTTTTGTTTAGGAATTTTGGGAAATATGTTGTTCTAAAAACTACTATAATTTTTTAGACACTTCAATTGACAGAGTCAATTTTTTTTCAATTTTTCCAGTCAACCAATCAATTGTAATTAAAGAAAAACGACGCGCGGCGGAGTTTCCCTCTAGGGTTCAAATTTTAGGAAATTCTCGTTAAAATTCTGTTTGTTTTCTCCGCTGATTCTACGAAATATTTAATAGGAAAAACTCAATCGATTTTTATTTTTCCATATGAATATTCTCTTGGAATTTTTTCTATAAGAATAAGTGGGCATTAATTGTTCAAGTTTTTTTTAATAATGCTGTTGCTGTTTTTAATTGATTCGCAGCACGTAGAGGCCATAGCTTCATTCACTTATCTGTTTTTATTTTTGCCTCTTGAAATTACTGAACGTTTTCCTTTATGCCACAGATGTGTAATATGATAATGCTGGGAGGGTCGCCTGAAAAATGAAGAGTGAAAAAAGTAGCATGTTTGTTTCATTTCGAGGGGACGGGAACGGAATTTTAAGGGATCGTGAGAGGAATTCCTGAGATTGCATGCAGTGTACAGTGGAGAGACACAAAAAATTTTGCTCAATTACTTGCAATTGAATAGGGAAAATGAGTAGATGGGAAGATATTCACGAGGCAGTAAAAAATGCAGAAATATTAAATTATTCATTCGTTTTTCGGCCAAAACTACTGCTTTATCACTTAATTATTGATTGATTATTCTGTTTAGCATCATTTTAATTAATCAAGTGCTTTTGTGAATCAGGATTATGAAATTTTCCCGGGAATATTTCCCACGATAAACAACGAAATGCGCTCTCTCAGAAATTTTCTATTTCCAGCACCAGATTTTGTTTTCGTTTTTCACATAAAATTATCCATAAATTTTGATTACATTTGTTGCTTCATTTCGAGGGGACGGAAATGAAATTTGAAGAGATCGCGAGGGATTCCTGAGGTTGCATGCAACGTACAGTGGAGAGAAACAAAAAGTTTTGTTCAATTACTTGCAATTGAACAGGGAAAATGAGTAGATGGGATATTCATGAGGATATAGAACGGATATATACACTATCCCCACGTTGTGAAGTTGTAGCTGTAAAAAATGCAGAAAGGTGAAATTATTCATACGTTTCTCGATCAAATTACTGTCCTATCTCTTCGTAATTGATTGATAATGCTGTTTTGCATAATTTAAATTAATCGAGTCTCTTGTGAATGAGGATTATACAATTTTCCCGGAATAAAAAACCAGATGCACTCTGTCAGAAATTTTCCAGTGCCAGAATTTTTTTGTTTTTCACATAAAATGAATCATGAATTCTCATTACGTCAAATACGAATGGCTCATTCAAATGAAATGAACTTGATTCCATTCAAATGAATAGATTTGTTATTCATATTTATTTATTTAAACTTAATTATTTGTGTTCTTATAATAAAATTAAATAAATAGTTTCTCAAATCCAAATATTATTTATCCTCTTAATACCAAAAAATGTTTTGCTCGAAATGAAATAATTCCTTAGACGATGAAGAGAAACAATTCCTTATCATGTTACAATTGTTAATTTGCATCGAATAAACCGTTCATTTCATTCTTTCCGTATTGTCTTCCTTGAAATGCTCTGAATTCCGAATAAAAATTTCCAAAACACCAATTTCCCCTCAGGACCACGTTGTATCCCGTCATTTTTATCGGACTTGTTTCTGCATGCATACGATACGTATGACGTTTACAATCAAATATAACTCTGATGAAAAAAGTGACATAGTTCTATTCATATCGCAAAAAAATACAATGCATATCCTAGAAACTTCATTTATATTCCCTCAAATATTCTGCCATATTGACAAATAAATGAATAACTCCATCCACTGATGGAGTTTTCCACTCATTTCCATCAGCGTCCACCGATATCAATTACATCAAATGTTCCTAATGGAAAAAAATGCAATAGAAAACGAAGGATGTACAATAAAACGGGTTTATGACGCGGTAAAATACCAATGGTGTGGCAAGGGGGAGGGCGGGGAATCGAGTGATATGTACATGGAATTGTTCTTATGTTGTTAAAAAAATTAACGGATTCATAACAAAATTTTCCGTGTGCCTCTATACTGTAAAAAAAGTGACATCACTCTATTCATATCTTAAATGAAAATGCAATGAATTTCCCACAAACTCAAATAAAATACAAATAAACAAACAAATGGGCGAAGCGATAAACAAAGAAACAAATAAATATTATCGTCCACAGATGGAGTGTTCCACTCGTTTCCATCAGCGTCCACCGATATCAATTACATCAAATGTTCCTACTGAAAAAAACTACAATAAAAAACTGATGATATATAATAAAACGGGTCTATGATGCTGTCGAAGTCCCCAGCGGGAAATTGTTCTTCTGTTGCTTGAAAAAAATTAACTGCTTCTTAACAAAATTTTCCGTGCGCCTCTATACTGTAAAAAAAGTGGCATCACTCTATTCATATCTTAAATGAAAATGCAATGAATTTCCCACAAACTCAAATAAAATACAAATAAACAAACAAATGGGCGAAGCGATAAACAAAGAAACAAATAAATATTATCGTCCACAGATGGAGTGTTCCACTCGTTTCCATCAGCGTCCACCGATATCAATTACATCAAATGTTCCTACTGAAAAAAACAACAATAAAACCCCGAGGATGTACAATAAAACGGGTCTATGACGCTGTAGAGGCCAATCCCAGGGGCGAGGGAGGCGGGAGTGGTATATACGTGGAAAGCTTGAAGCCATCGAGATTCGATTAAACGTCAGGTCTTTGTCGGTTGAAATCAACCTAGTACCACCACGAGCGTTGTAACCACGTGGTATGTTACAAGACCGTTGTGGTATGGTGAAGGGAATGGAAAATGGCTTTGGTAATTCAAGCCTAGGTAGAACTAAAATGGTTAGGATGAGGATTGAGAGACAAGACTCGGGGATTGTGAGAGGGATTTGGTCTCCCTCATTTTCTTAAATTTCTCGGATGGATCTCCGGGCTCTCCGAGCAATTATTACGCTTTAGGTTTTTGAAGAGAGGGGATGGGGTCTACCGTTGGCAAATGGTTTTAGTGGTCATGTAGCATGAGTATGTATACTGATGGTCAGAGTGGAGTTGGTATGGGGCAGGAGTTGGAAGAGGGTATGTGCTGATGTGCCCTGTGGCTATTTGAAAACGGGGGAAGCTACTGGTTTAGAGCTAGTGATGGCTCACCGCTGAACCAACGGTATGAACTTCATCGGTGATTTCATGGAGAGTATTTCTCGATTCCTGGGGAAATTCAGGAGTGGGGTAGGGTGTGCCTGTACCGCCCACCTAAGGGGAAATGCCAGTTTTATATTTTATATTTCAACTTGGGTATAAAAAACGTATTTGTGAGACTTCTTTAACTATTGAACTCGTTATTCTCGAAGTGTAGACGCCAAATTCTCCTTAGAATCCACAAAATTGATTGAAAATAAAAGAGAATCGCTCGGCACGATTCCAATGCCGCTCATAGGGTTTTGCGTGTATCGCTCGCGCCGCAACCTAACCTGTACTCTAGTGCTGTCGAGCAACTACGTGGCCGATCCTATGAGCGGTATTACCGGCTTCGCTCGGTGTCAACAAAATTGTTGATAATTATTGACATGAGTGGAGTTTTGAGCTCGAATTGGTCTCAAATTACGCGTGAAAGTACCACGAATTGAATAACCACAGTTTAATGTGAGAATTCAGCGTTTGAAACTATCAAAAACCTTAATTACAAGTCCACAAATTTTGCACTGTAAAGACCTCAAAACTTCGTTACGTGTTTTTTCATATTTAAAGAGATAAATAAAGTGAAATTTTTCCGACAATCACATCCTATTCT